GACGGATCGCCTTTTTTAAATACTGGAGTAACTGTCGCTTCTTTCCAGATGTCAGGAAAATACGAAGTCTTAATAATAAGATTAAACAGAGAATGGAGAGGTTTTACAAAGATCGATGCACAGTCTTTTACGATAAAGCTGGGAATGTTATCTACACCTGAGATTAGAGAATCTTTGGATCGTTTTAACACTTCAAGTATTTCATCTTCTGTTATGTTCTCAATTTGTATTATAGAGTTGCTCAAATCACTTTGGTTTAAAACACAAGAGTAAGAAGAGTCAGAAATAACGTATACGCTTTTAAAGAAAGAAGCAAAAGCATTAACAATTTCAGGTGGTGTCTGAAGTTCTTGATCAGAAAATTTCATGATTGCTGGAATTCTGGACTTTCCTTTTTTAGTCTGAACATAGGACCAAAACCTCTTAGGGTTGGACGTGAGTGACGACTGAACTTCGTTTAAGTATCTGAGATAGTTGGATTGAATCAAGGACTTGCATTTAGATCTGTGGTATTTAAAAGCATCATAAAAATACTGGCTTTTGTATTGTCTGAATTTATTATGAAAAAGCGTTTTCAAACGTAGCATTTTGATAACCTCTGAGTCAAACCACGGGGGATATCGATGACCTTCCTTTTTGAAATTAAACTTAGGGACAGATACCTCAAAGATTTTGTTTAAAACTTGATAAAATTCAAAACATGCCGTATTAACGTTAGTTACGTTTTCCAAAAAAGACCAGTCAGTAGAAAGAAGTAAATCGTATAATAATTTGAAGTTAGATTTACGAAAATTAAAACAGCTTGGATCTGGATTCATAAGAAAATGACCAGAAGATTTTATTATAAAGTGAAATGAAATATTTAATGCAGGATGGTAGTCATCTTCTGGTACAAGGGGAAGATCCGACTGTTTTACAGAGCAATGAAGATTAGAGAATAGCAGATCTAAAAAGCGATTGATTATCTGCTTATGTTAAAAATTCTGGACATTGGAATAAGTTATGCTCTTCTTTACAACTAATGCATGAACTAAAGTTGCTGCCGTTTGATAGGAGATTAGCAATAGCACGATATTTTACTTCCCGAGCGTAAGCTAAGGAAGTATAGTAATTGAGTCCATAGGATGAAGTGCCACATTTATGTTTCCTCGATGTTTCGTGACCCCAACAGTACGAAAAAAGTAGTCTCCCGTTTCCGTCTGTCTGTCTGTCTATCTGTCTGTCCGTCTGGTGTCTGTATCCATTTTTATTAGACAAGTAATCTCCGAAACTGCTGGACCGATTGTTGTCAAATTTTTTGTGTATATTAGAAATATCATGTAAATGGTTAAAGACGACCCAAAAATTGGATAATCATCCCCACCAACAATTTGATGACGTATATGTCGCAGCGATATAGCTTGCATATAAGCGTTTAAACATCACACTGTGGTACTCCTGTTATGTAACTAACACCTAATGTTAACTGCATTTACTAGATATCTCATTATTGTGTCGCCGCGATATGGTTGGCAGGTAAGCCTTGTAACATCTCGTTGTAACGTTTCTGGCAGGGCAACACCAAAAACATTTTAAAACATGCATATCGAGTACTGTATAGCTCTATTTTCTATTTATTATTTATGTTTGTGTTGAAAGTAAATGTTATATTCATACACAAAGGATGCCGAGTCTTAAAAAAATAAATTTCTTCCGTGTCTTAAATCTTGCACAAGTGAGATGACGCCAATAGTGAGTTGTTCTTAATTTTTTTTTTATATTATAATTTCCATGTAATTATATTTATTTAAAATTTTATTTTTATACGTCCATAATGACCTACGCTTTACAAAACTGAACATTAAGAGACTTAATGCATATAGTTTATGATCAGAATTAAAAAATGTCCTATCAGGTAACATATTTCATCATTTTATTAATTCTAATGCAAAATATGTTGATCGGCAACAAAAGCAACACAAAGAAAAACAATCGAAATTAAAAAACGAATCTATTTCAAGGTCAGTAATATCGCTCCAAGAAAAAAATGAATTAAATAATTTCTTCACTTTGATCGTAAGGAAAATAAATAATAATTTGAATACGAAACAATAATTTTATTGGTCATGGAGTTTTGCGTATTGACTTTCGTACTCAGTTATAGATAGCTATATCTGTTTAACATTAAATTTTCAAAAGTTTAGATTTTTCCAATGTAATCTTGGGCTCTAAAATAAACTAGTAATGTATAATGGATAATTATAATTTAGTATTTTCGTGGTTGATCTTCAAATTATTATTTTCTCAAAAAATTCACTTCATTTCATATTCAGTATGTAGCTAACTGAAAACTGATAATAAAGCAGCAGATATGACAAAATAGTGCAGACTTTTTTAATGTCGGTAATAGAGTGTATGCATAATACCAATACATCGGGTATGTTCCTGTTTTTGTCTTCGTTCGACACCACTGTATTTACAGTATTTACGCAGGTATACGTTTCCGTCCCTAAAATCCCACGTGTGGCATCGTTTGTCCACGTAAATACAGTGTTTGGAATGAAGACAGAAACAGAAACATATCAGATGTGGCGATTCACATATAGTTTTACAACACCTTATCAAAATTTAAAAAAACCACTATGGTATTATTTGAAATTTATTATTAGGGATTATATGGTCAATTAGATGTGGGTCGTCGTATTCCTTAAAAAGTGGCCTTCGTCAGTGAGTTCGTAATGCTTAATTAATAATTATATTCAGGGGGTCGATTCTCGAACTTGTTCGCAAAGATGCGAATACCAATACATGCGCATGCCAAGATGCTATTCGAAACGAAAATCCGTCTTCTCAAACGAGAGTCAATGCGCATAGCAACTCGATGCGCATACGAATGCCTCTGTTCGAGTGACGATATGGCAGCGCAAAATATAGAAAATATTTAAATGCTATGGTTGGCAAAACTCATGCGGGGTGAGTTTGAATCCAAGAAGGACTATTTTAATCTGTTGCCTCCAAATTTATTAGGCAGCAAAACACGTATTATTGGCTCAATTTAAATTATTGCTTTAAAGTATTATTATTTTTTTTTTTTAGTTTTCTTTACAGTTTGCGAATATGTAGTGCATATTACGGCCCTTTTAATGCAAATTTATATCAAAATAAGTTGAACTTTAACTAGAATATAATATTTCCAACAAAATGGAACGATAATTCTTTTAAATTGTATTTTAAAGATTATAGGAGTGAATATTATATTAATAACACTATCAATTCCTTTTTTGCAATATAAATTACAATAAATTCTCTTTATTGTTCAAAACTAAGAAGTACGACTCAAGGATGGCATTAAGTCGGATACTTACTATTTTAATTAGTATTTTAATTCCAAATAATTGACAGACTAAAAAAACAAAAAAATCGTGATTTTACGATTTTATGCAACCCTACGTATTTAATACAAATTCTTGTGATTTTTTTACAGTGATGCAGATACAAACTTAATGTTTATTTTTGAGTGGGACCACCACAGCCAGCAGGTATTTGTATATTAATACCTTTATTACTGCGTGTAGGTACTCTCGTAGTTTATAGAAAATTCTTACGGTTTGGTTACCCGATGTTTTTTCAGGTATACTTATGCATACCATTACAACCGTTTTGTACAGTAAATGATCTTTCAGAATTCATTTTAGTTGTTATTTTTGAAACAACTGCACGTATACGTATTTGAAATGTTCGCAGTGGCTAGCCAGAGTCACCTAAAAATTATTGTTACAACCATAATAAGAACGTGTTAATGTATTATTAGAAATTACCCAAAATATCGCAATAGTGCGTTGTTTCTTCATAAATATGTAGCTATTATGTGTAAGTACTACACAGAAATCGGCTGTTTCAATTTAAAAATTTTAAATTTGCATCATAAATGTCAAAATTGTAAATGAAATTATAAAACTCCCACAATCAAATTGATACATTGCAATTTGTGTATTTTTGGAAGGGTAACCCTTTCTATTAATGTATATTAACATATACAGCAGATTAAAGATATTATATTGACGTTAACACAGAACGACCAAAACCAAACTGAGTTTTAGGTTAGCTTTCACCACTCGCAAACCAAAATGCGATCGCATCTACCCACTCGTAACTATAAATCCGGATTACCCTCGAACATATGCGTATACAAATGTGTGCGCGCAGTTCGAGAATACCGAATCTTCAAAACCGTTCGGAAGTTGGCCACTTGCGTATGCGGAACTTATTCAAACGAGTTCGAAAATAGACCCCCAGAGCGAAAAATACAACGGCTTTATTAGAAATACACCAAAGACAATTTTTTTCATTCAAATAATTTCTAATAATCATTTCTGTAAACTTGTTCACTCTTGAAGTGTTATTTTGTAAGTACCTGCTTGGCAAATTATAAATAGAACATCTGGGGTTGAGCGTAATATTGGGAAGACCCAACGACACAAAAAAAGTCATAAAAATTCTTTGTCCATTGTGTCTGAAACGGGACTGTTCGGTACGGGCCTGACTCAGACCAGCCGGGCAAGCCCGGTCCTGCCCTAGGGTAAGCACCCCACCACACCACCCACCGGACGGAGGGCGCTTTCTCCCGAATTCATTCGACAACAACATTCAAGAACGACAAGAACTACCGAACGCGACGGCGGTACGGGCGCGACGCCCTCTAATACACACTTGCAATGTATATAAGTATTAAAATATAAGTGTTTAAACAATCGACTATTCATTACGGTCCTTCGAAGAACGGCACGACGCCACATTTTAGTCCGTTAGAGCCGGATAATCAGCGAACACGAGTGCACGCGACGTCACCACGTGGTCCATCTATAACAACGCCAAGCAGTAAGTCCCAATTTCCTTTCTTTTCATTTATCCAGCAACGTTGATTTGTGTCAAGTTTGTCTGGAGCCAGCACGTGGAGTGATTTATCTACAACTCCTAATAAGTTTAATATTTCATTTATTATATTATTTAACTATATCACAATGGCTGAGTTAGCAAGTTTAAGACAAAAACGGGGCACTGTTAAATCCAAAATTACAAGGATCGAGTCCTTTGCTAAAGCATTTAAACCAACTGATAATGTGTATCAGCTGGAAGCTAGGTTGCAAACTTTGGAAAACGCAATGAAAGAATTTGAAGAATATCAATATCAAATTGAAGTATTGGATGAGAACGATAACGATCGAGAAACAGTTGCAATACAATATTATAACGCTTTAGCCGATATTAAGGCTAATCTCAGTAAACATAAACTTTCTCTTAAAGTAAACACTTCCCAGCCTTCAACTTCTGAAGCAAATGATGGTGGTAGTCAATCCGATTCGGTGGTAAAACTTCCATCATTGAATTTACCAATATTTTCTGGGTCTTATTCACAATGAGTATCATTTCAAGATACATTTGAATCCTTGATACATACTAATAACAACTTGAATGAGTGTCAGAAATTTCACTACTTGAAATCATCACTAAAGGGCGAGGCGCTGGCCACCATCGAGGCATTAACTATTTCTGCCGAAAATTATAAATCCGCGTACGATCTGTTGAAAAGACGGTACAATAATGCCAGGCTAATTGCTCAAGAGCACGTTTTAAATATTTTAAACACACCTACTGTCACTAAGACTAATTCAGTTGCTCTGCGTAAATTAGTAATAGATGTTAGTAGTAATATAGAAGCCCTTAGAGTTCAAAAATTAAATGTTGATGCATGGGATGGGTTAATTGTGCCATTCATTGGTGAAAAATTGGATTACACCACTAAAAGGGAATGGCAGGCCACACTTACCTCCGAATTACCTACATTAAAGGAACTAATAACTTTCTTAGAAAAACGGTGTGAATTTTTAGAATCCTTTCAGTATATAAATAATAAGTCTCACAATGATGTCAGTACTCATAAATTTCAGCAGTCGAATAAACATGTAAATAATAAGAACTCAAATAAATACCGACCTATCATTCAAACGGTCACGAATAAAGCGGTTCATTGTTATTATTGTAACGCCAATTCTCGTGTCATTTATAAGTGCCCGGAGTTTAATAATTTGCCGATAAATCTGAAAATTCAACACGTAAATAAAGGCCACTTGTGTGCAAATTGTTTGCGGCCAAATCATATTGCCGTAAAGTGTATTTCTAAAAGTAGGTGCAAAGAATGCCGCATGAAACATCATTCGTTAATACACGATAGCAGACAATCCAGTAATAATTTGGCATTGTCTTTATCAAATCGTACCAACGTGACGGCACTGTTGATTACAGCGCTTGTAAATATAGCAGACGCAAGGGGTACGTACCATGAGTGTCGGGTAATGTTAGAATGTGGTTCGCAAAGCAATCTAATAACGCATAAGTTATGTCAAAAATTAGGAAGCAAATTGAAAAAAATCAGTTATCCATTCACAGGGGTAGGGAAAATACAAACTACTGTGAAAAACGCAACGAATGTTTCAATACATTCTCGTTGTAATCCGTTCTCGTTAAACTTACATTGTCTAGTACTATCAAAAATTACTGGTCCCTATCCAAGTGAGTCGTATTCGATTTCCGATTTAAAGATCCCATTTAATTTGAGCTTAGCTGATCCAAATTTTAATAAATCAACCAATATTGATTTGCTCATTGGAGCCGAACATTTTTGGCAGATAATAGGCAACGAAGAGATTAATATATTTAATAAACAAGTTTATTTGAGGGAAACGGCTTTCGGTTGGGTCGTAGCAGGTAAAATTGCGAACACCTGCACTCAAGGTTTTGTGGGTTGTACTAGAAAGTTTGGGAAAAATGAGGCTTTAAATCAACAATTGACAAAATTTTGGGAAATGGAGGAGCAGGTAACGAACACCAGTACTATGTCAGTTGAGGAATTAGCATGTGAAAGGCATTTCTACAAAACGGTTAGAAGAGACCCTTCCGGTCGCTTTGTTGTCAGATTACCATTTAAAACAGATGTTTCTCATCTAGGTCGTTCTGACAACATTGCTCTAAAACAGTTCCATTCATTAGAAAACCGGCTGAATAACAAACCTCAACTAAAGAGTGATTATATTAAGTTCATGCAAGAATATACTGATTTAGGCCATATGCAATTAATCACAAACTCGTCTGATGTTAATGTCAATAAACAATATTCATATTATTTACCCCATCATGCTGTCGTAAAGGAATCAAGCTCAACCACGAGGGTGCGAGTAGTTTTTAACGCTAGTAGCAAAACGAGTACTGGTATTAGCTTAAATAACATTCTTATGGTGGGACCAACTGTCCAACAAAGTTTATTTTCAATTATTACTCGATTTCGCACACATCAATTTGCCTTTACTTGTGACATTGTTAAAATGTATCGACAAATCTGGGTCGACCCCAGAGATACACCTTTTCAGCGCATTTTGTGGCGAGATGATAATAATAAACCAGTCGAAATCTATGAGCTAAAGACTGTAACTTACGGTACTGCATCCGCGCCGTATCTGGACACCAAGTGTTTACAAAAATTAGCCTTAGACGAGCAAGACAAATTTCCCACTGCCTGTCCTATAATTTTACGCGATTTTTATGTGGACGATTTGTTATCTGGCGCCAACACAATTGCAGAAGTTGCACCTGCAAAACAAGAACTAACGCAAACACTAAAGGCTGGGGGCTTTGAGTTACAAAAGTGGTGCTCTAATGTGAACAATTCTTTATTGAGAAATGAGTCTCAAGATTCAAACATTAATCTAGATAATAAAAATGAAGTCAAAACGCTCGGGTTATGGTGGAATTACGAGAATGATTTGTTAAAATACACTCTTGAATCTCAACCAACTAATTCTGCTACAAAACGCCAGGTGCTTTCTACTATAGCCAGAATATATGACATTTTAGGATTACTGTCTCCTGTTATTATAATCGCAAAAACAATCATACAAAAAATGTGGTCGTATAAACTTGAATGGGACGATCCATTACCTAAAGATCTATATACACAATGGTCCGAATTTTCAAAGCAATTACATCTACTAAATTCGTTAACCATTCCTAGAAAGGTGGTAACATATTCATATAATTACACCGAAATTCATGGGTTTTGTGACGCATCAATGGCAGCTTATGGAGCTTGCATTTACATTCGGACATATACAATACCGATTGGACTTCTCTATATAGCACAAGTTGTTGTACCGAAGCGTGGAACATATTTAGGAATGTACTGTGTGACCTGGTTTCTAGACATACGTCTACATATAAAGTCAAGTGCAATCGTACAAAACCCTGGATTACCCAGACCTTTATAAAACGTGCAAAAATAAAAAACAAACTATGGAATAAATACAGAATGTCGGGTGCTCAAGAAGATTACGACCTACACCGCAATTTTTCCAATATCTTAAAAAGTGACTTGAGATTAGCAAAAAGTCGTTTTGAGAATAACGTGGTGAAGAGCGGTCCCAAAGCCGTGTACAAATTTATGAGAAACAAAATTCTGTCGAAAGTTTCGGTCCCTATTATCTGCAGCAACAACTTATTTGCAAAAAATGAACAAGAGTCAGCCAACTTTCTAGCAGATTTCTTTGGGAGTGTATTTACTAGTGAACCCAAAGGAAATTTACCAGCATGTCCAGCACCTCGTACAGAAGCTTCGTTACCAAATATTAATTTCACTGATGAAATAGTTCTGAAGGAACTTGATAACCTTCCTGATAAAAGTTCGCCTGGTCCAGACGGCATCACATCACATGTTCTCAGGCGATGTAGTAGTAATCTAGCTCGTCCGCTATCACATATCATGGAGCGTTCATTTCAAACATCAAAACTTCCACCAGTATGGCTTCAAGCCCATATTACACCGGTGTACAAAAAAGGTGATAAAACAATGGCGGAGAATTATCGACCCATTAGTCTGACATCAACCTGTTGTAAAGTTATGGAACGAATAATTTGGAGACATCTTCTCCGATTTTTATATGATCACGACATTATTACATTAAATCAACATGGCTTCTTGCCTAAAAGGTCCACTGTCACTTGCCTGCTTCAATGTCTTAATGAATGGACGTTGTCTTTAGAAAAAAATATTCCAGTTGATATAATTTATTTAGATTTCGCAAAAGCTTTCGATAGAGTTCCCCATCGTCGTCTTATACACAAACTTGAAAACAGCGGAATTCGTGGGCTCCTATTGCAATGGATTAAAGCATTCCTTTGTGGTCGCAATTTTAAAGTAAAAGTAGGCTCAGCTTTTTCAAATAAAAAAGACGTACTGTCTGGTGTGCCGCAAGGGTCGGTCTTGGGCCCTGTATTGTTTCTTGTTTATATATCTGACCTGCTAACTTCACTCAACTCACATCACGCTTTTTACGCTGACGATGGTCGGATATACGGTAATTCCTTTTCATCTTCACGAATCATCCAACAAGATCTTCATACTATGTATACTTGGACGCACGTATGCTTAATGCCCCTAAATCTCCAAAAATGTTTTGTACTTCGCTTGGGTAAAAACAACCCCAACATTGCATACACTCTGAACAACTATGTTTTAGAATCCGTTCAGCAGATCAACGATTTAGGTGTCATACTTGACAAAGAGCTATCTTTTTCGGAGCATACCGTTCACATTGTAAAAAAAGCCAATGTCAGAAGTTATCTGTTGCAAAAGACGTTTACCAATCCGGACGAAGTTCTGTTAAAAACACTTTTTGTATCGTACATTCGTCCTATCGTAGAATACGCGAGTGTAATCTGGTCTCCTGCCCTAGTAAAAGATAAGCAATTAATTGAGAAAGTCCAGCGTCGTTTCTCTAAGTACGGCCAATCTCTCAGAAATAAATCTTATGAAGATAGACTTTCGACACTGAAACTCCCTACCCTCGAAAAACGGCGTCTCTTCAATGATTTGGTTTGTACTTATAACATCCTCTCCAATAAATTTAGTTTCAGCCTTGCCGACATCTTTGTTCTGTCGGATATTTCCCGTCTCCGGGGACACTCGTTGAAATTATACCATGAAAATTATAAAACTAAATGGCGTCAAAATTTTCTGACCAACCGAGTCTTCCAGATCTGGAACGGCTTAGCCGTAGAAATCGTTGAAGCAACTACAACTGCTTCCTTTAAAAACAAACTGGGTATATATTTGTACCAGTCATCTTAACACCCATCTGACACCGGAACTCTTCCTATGTGAGAAGCAGTAATAAATTGTAGTTGCTGGAAAATTGTTTTCGGCGGATGGGCATAATAGGCTCTGCCTCTGCCTGCCCAACGTTTTCAATAATAATAATAATAATAATAATAATAATATAATCCACAGACTAATCATTACAGTACAGAACTTCTTTGTGCTAAGTCGCGGGTAGCTTCACTTAAAATTGTAACATTACCGAGATTAGAATTATGTGCGGCGGTTTTACTGGCACGATTAATGAATAAACTGGTGTCAACTTTGAACGTTAACTTTAATGCGCAATATTTATGGACAGATTCTTCTATTGTTTTAGCATGGTTAGCATCTCCTTCATCAACATGGAAGGTTTTCGTAGCTAATCGGGTTGCGGAAATACAATCTGTCACTAAGGTTAATGATTGGCGACATGTGAGGTCATTCGACAACCCAGCTGACATTGTGTCACGGGGCATGTTGCCTAAAAAATTGATCACTTCTTCACTATGGTGGCACGGGCCACTTTGGTTGTGTCAAAACAAGGCGGCGTGGCCAAAGGTAACCACCAGTCAAAATCAAGAAACCAATAAACTAGATCACGTAATGACCGAAAAACGAGCTGAAAACAAAATTCTAAACGTCTCACCTAAGAATACATTAACCGTATTAACCAAATTTTCCTCATTGGATAAACTTCAACGGATAATCGCGTACTGCAAACGAATCGTTCATAATTGTCTCAATCTCAACAATAAAATGCAGGGCTTACTATCACTTTCAGAATTAGATCAGGCAAATGATGCAATTATCAAAATGGTTCAAGCATCTGAGTTTTATAAAGAAATAAGCGATTTGGAAAATAAAAGGGAGATTTCTAAAAGCAGTAAACTTCGCATTTTGATGCCGTTTTTAGATAAAAATGGTATTATCCCCGTTGGAGGCCGTCTAACAAATTCGCGAATTCCGTCCGAACAAAGATTTCCAAAATTACTCCCAGCAAAACACCACGTAACGAAATTAATTATTTTAAAAATACATCAGGACCAACTGCATGCTGGTCCATGTGCCACTTTAGCCGCTCTACGTGAAAAATACTGGCCATTGGCTGCACAATCAACAATTAGGTACCTATTGCAAAAGTGTTACGTATGTTTTAAGGTAGATCCTCAGAGTAATGATCAGCTAATGGGAGATTTACCGGCCGAACGAGTACAACCATCTCGGCCTTTTTCAGATTGCGACGTCGATTACGCCGGACCAATAATTATTAAAGAAGGTGGTCCACGTAGTAAGAAAACAGTTAAGGCTTACATTGCGTTGTTCAAATGTTTTGCAACCAAGGCTGTTCATATTGAGTTAGTGGGGAACCTTACATGCGAAAGTTTTATTAACGCATTAAAACGTTTCGTGGGACGAAGGGGAAAGGTATCACAAATATTTTCAGATAATGCTACCTATTTCACAGCAGCCAATCACGAATTAAAAAATTTACTTAATTCTTCTGATTTTCAACAAGGAATTGATAGTTTTTTGAGAAAGGACGGCATCAAATGGCATTTTATACCTGCTCGGTCACCCCATCGAAGGAGATTCTGGGAAGCAGGCATCAAGGCTGTAAAATATCATGTGAAAAGAGTTGTAGGTAACGCACTACTTTCATACGAGGAGCTTTTGACGGTTTTGACACAAATTGAGGCTTGCGTCAATTCCAGACCTTTGACACCGCTATCCCATGACCCTGTTGACATTAGTCCCCTCACTCCCGGTAATTTCCTTATTGGGGACACATTAGCAACAACTGCAGAAGCCGACCTAACCACGACAAACGAAAATCGCTTATCAAGATGGCAGCGTGTACAACAAATCACCCAGAACTTCTGGAAACGCTGGAGTAAGGAATTCCTGAATACTCTTCAGCAAAGATCGAAGTGGAGGGAGCGGTGCACAAATCAGGCTAAACCAGGCCTACCGGTCCTACTCAAGGAGGAAAACCTACACCCATTGTGTTGGAAAATGGGAGTCATCAAGGAGGTCGACCCAGGAAAGGATGGTACCGTGCGTACGGTAATTGTGAAAACCAACAGCGGTGAGGTTTCCAGAGCTGTCAACCGCATTTGCCCGTTCCCACCAGAGGAAGAAGACGTTGAATCACACGGTGATTCAAGGGGGGCTGGATGTTCGGTACGGGCCTGACTCAGACCAGCCGGGCAAGCCCGGTCCTGCCCTAGGGTAAGCACCCCACCACACCACCCACCGGACGGAGGGCGCTTTCTCCCGAATTCATTCGACAACAACATTCAAGAACGACAAGAACTACCGAACGCGACGGCGGTACGGGCGCGACGCCCTCTAATACACACTTGCAATGTATATAAGTATTAAAATATAAGTGTTTAAACAATCGAGTATTCATTACGGTCCTTCGAAGAACGGCACGACGCCACAGGGACAAGGTTTTGAAGAGTTCATTCGTCGAATTTTGATTTTATAAAGACGTTTATAAAGCGATGATGGGTACCAAAATAATTAGAGAACGGTTAATTTTTAATTTTATTAAATTTATTTCATCTAATGAAAAAATAACACCCAACTTCCGCATTTACTATCCACCAGATATTTGGGGGGTGCAGTCGGTCGATCCCTTTTTTGAGTATTTATGTTTATTGCACTTCACACTCATAGTGAAGCTTTCGAATTCCATTTGGCAATTTGGTTCACAACCACCGAACCTTTCTCGTAACTCACTTCATTTTTAATGCAGTTTTGTGAAAATTTCTGCCATTCAGTGTGGGTAGTATTTACACTAGGTAAGTTAATATAATTCTAATGAAGTAGTCATTTTAATTTTTACGTGCTTCTGTTGTTTTTGGTAAGTGTACGTAAATAACAAAAACAGTTTTTTCAGATAAGATGGAAATACCACCATTAATCACTGAAGATATTCCCGCTGATTTTGAAGAACAAGCAGGTTTCTTTGTAAGTTAAAATAAATGTATATGTACTTACATATAACATAATATTGGATATTATACAGGGTGTTATTGAAATACATGGAAACAAAAAATCTGGTGAATGTAGGGAACCTAAGAAGTCAAATGAACGTTTGTTGTTTTAGTAAAATTTTGAAAGGAAAATTTAACCCCTATCCAAACATTCATTCCTCCACTGATAATTAATGGTTTCACGAAAAAATGTGAAACCTAGTAACTGAAAACTGCCGAGGTGTAACTACTCTTGCTATTAATTTATTGCTAGCAACAAATAAACAATGACAATAATTAATGAACTGACAATTAAAACTTCAAAATCATAATTTAATCAACCATAAAATGAAACAAAACGTAACGTATGCAACTAGAGCAAGTTTTCAAAATGTCCACCACCATTTCGTATACACACTTCCGCACGTCTAATCAATGATTGTTGCCTTGTTCATGTAGAGTTCTCCACACCACAAAAGGTGAAACTCCCACTCGGTAAGACAATCGTCTAATGCTTATACCTGAATCGTTTTCAACGACATTCAAAATTTCTTCTTCGGCATCAAGTGTCCGTTCTGTCCTTTCACGACCACGATCATTAAAACGAGGTTGAAATTTCCCATTTTCTCGTAGACGCTGAACAACGTTAGCAAATGTTTTATGATTTGGCAATCTTCGTTCGGGAAATGCTTCTTGGTATAAACGTCGAGCTTCCAAGGAGTTTCTTAAGGCTTGTCCATACATCAGAACCATGTCAGTCATTTCAGAATTAGAAAAATTCATTTTGTTCTTCCAAAAAATTGCAAAAACGTCAAAAAATGATGGGCTAATGAATGTATTGTCATGTTAACAAGCAACAATTTTACCTACTTTAAATTACTATAGTGATCAAATTTACCTTTAACATTTTTGGAATCAGTAGCGCACACGCAAATTTTAACAGATTTTCAATCAATTTTATCTCGAAAACTAAAGGATTTTTATTAGATCAATATTTGATGCATAAATTCTCTACATCATGACCAATTACCTTAAAAAAAGTTTCCATCTATTTCAAAAATACCCTGTATACAGGTAGATGCCTGTAGTACTATGACACTTTTTAGGAATCTAGTAAACATGACACATTTCGCCTAACACGTTACATACATAGTGGGTTGAAGAAAAGTATTCTAGCGAAGCACCCTGTATGTTATACATACGCGGTGACTTCCAAATAGATTCGGAAAAAATCGTTTAATTGTCACACGGATTCAAAGTAATTAAATTGCTGCGCCAGTTTCAAGGAACAAATACGGAAACTCTAGTTAAATGTCACAATGCGGCAATGATTTATTCAGTTTCCATTGTGACTACATATTTTCTTTGTTTTTGCTGTGTATTGGTTAGATGAAAACAAATGGCACTCAATGAGGTGTAGATCTTAATATTTTTTCCCCTGAATTAGGACTAGATAAAAGAAATTACTTAAAATTTTCTCTACTTCGTGATATTGTGGTTTTATTTTCCGAACTTATTTCAGAGTCACTCGGTATATACACATAAAAATATTTTCTTCTTTTCATATTTCAGGAAATGCTATTGTCTCAGATAGGTGGTAATGGGAAAAAGAACAATGTGGGGCGTGTATTAAAAAAACTATTTTTCAGCGAATTTGCTGTAGCTTGTTCGTTCAGTAGGAAAATTCCAGAATGGCTGGGACAAAAATAATGAATATCATGAAAGGTATTTTTTTTGCAACAAATACAATTATTACAATTTTTATTTTTGAAGAAATTACAATGAAGACCTATTCCGTAATAGAAAAAGAAGTAGAACAACGCTACTCAGAATGGCTACGACATTCTAGTCAACGCCTGAAGAAAGAAAAAACGACAGTTTATAATGTCTTTTTTAAGTGTAAATTATACGTATATATATATATATACAGGGTGCCGCATCCAAGTCTGGATATAGGGAATTAACATGGGATTTGGTTTTTATTTTATAATATCTCCCCAGATCACTTTAAAGCTATTATTGAGTGATGCCTTTGTAGAGGTCGAAGAGGGCTATCGGCCAGTATTTTTTTCAAATCGTTGCATCGCTCTCATTCACTGTAAAAAGGTTTTAAAATCGTATTTTGAAATTCGCGCCCGATCCGATTTGTCACGAAATGTTCCGTCGCACTGTCGAAGTTCGGCGATCGCGTCTTTGCAATAACCATGCAAAATTCAAATGTCAAAGTGAAATTAGAAATTATTCTCAGAAATCAACGAACAACTCAAACATAATTTTTTGATCCAGTGTGATGATTATTGTAGGACAAATTACGCGGAATAAATGCACAAATTGATCCATTCATTCGTCATAGTGCGCGACCCCGTCAAACGAGCCATCTCGAACTACACTCAGACCGTATCCAAAAAGCCCGAGATGAAGACTTCGAGCAGCTGGTCTTCCTCAAAACTCCATCGGCAGGATTGTGACATGTCCTGGGAGCCCTCAAGCTAGTAATGTACTCGCGCTGCCTCACTCAGTAATCACTGAACGATTCAAATTGAATTATTTTATCCAATATGTCAATTATTGTAGGTCAGTTTAAACGGAATAAATGCACAAGCTGCACAGAATATTTTATTAGGTTATGTTGTTAGTGCTGGTCGAGTCTTTATTACTAAAATCTCATTAAAATGAGATTTTAGTAATAAATTCTACTGCGATTAGATGAAAAAGCGAGGGTCCGCCTTTCTTATTGTGTGATGATAAGATTTACCATCAAAACAGCTGGCGCTTTTGAAGAGAACCTTTTAATAAACCATTTAGATAACTACAAATAACAAAACTTAACAATTGTTGATGAATGAAGTAATGAAATATTGTACGAATCTAGAGAAGTATTGCACCATTTTCAAGAATTGCTCAAAAAGGCTGCTCTCAGCAGCTATACAGTAAGTAAGCCGATCTTCAAAATTCTACGCGTGTTGATCCGTATTTGCGTTGCAATCTGAAGACAATAATTGCCTTACTGCTTGTCTCTGTATAGCTGGTATTGTTTCAATACAGATGGTCGTGAAGAAATCTCAAAAGAAAAAATTCCCAGGGATTTAGATCCGGCGAATGCACAGACTAATGGGGCGGTGCAAACTTTCCATTCCAACATTGCGGGAAAATACTGGTTCAAATAAACAACATTTATGCGAGCTATATGGGTGGAGATTTGGTCCTGGATGTAAAAGACCTGCTGCAGATGCCGCACCCTTCGAGTCCCAGGAAGCATTTGCTGAGCTAGCATATTGTCCTACTTCTGAGCATTCAATCTAGATTCGATGAAAAAAGGTGCAATGACATGATGTCCTAGAACCCCCAGTCATCCACTGACAGTTGTACGCCATTGATAACGATAGTCATGGACCACGTGAGGGTTGTGTTATGCTCAAATTTGATCGTTCTGACGATTATAACTTCCGTTAAGACCAAATGAACATTCGTCAGTAAAACAAATGTTCCTCAAAAACTCTCCGTCAGCCTGGATTCTCTTAAGCATTCCTTCGTAAAACTCTCTACGTGAGAAGTAGTCCTCAGGCTTCAATTTTTTGTCATGATGCTTTTTGAAACTCTTCTATCCCATCTCTTTAAGATCCCTAGAAAACGTTGTGCCCATCTGATTTTATTTACTTTTTATCACCTTTGAAAATAAATGTAACTTTGTTTTGTGAAATATTATTTTTATTTTTGTTGTTGTTAACACAATAAATAATTAAAACAGTAACACAAAAGTTTCTGAATCCCAAAACTCATTCGTAGTAGAGAAAAACACTTTAAGATGTTGATGAGTCAATGTTCTACATTTCTCTCTCAAAAATTTCTTGTAAAGAACATGCTTCCAGGTGGCAAAAATTCCATCCCTGCTTAACGAATGTAAAACCAATTGACTTCCAATCTTTAGTGATTCGAAAAAAAAGTGTGAAATTTTCCCAAATTACCTACTAATTAAATTAACCATTGAAGAACAAGCAGGCCCTCGCTTTTTCATCTAATCGCAGTAGAACATAGCATAACCTAATAAAATATTTTGTGTAGTTTGTGCATTTATTCCGTTTAAACTGACCTACAATAATCATCACCAGGGGCGGCTGGTCAGGGGCGGCAGGGTCGGCCACGCCGTACCAGTCATTTTAAAATACTTAGTAAGCGTTGAAATTAGAAAATAAAAAAAGAAATAAAGTTTGAATGTACGTTAGGATAGATCATATATATTAAAAATATATTT